GCAGAGGAGAAGAAGGTAACTGTGAGGCCAAGAAAAGCTTTGCTTTGTGCACCGGGTAGACAGGGAAGGAGGCAGCATTTGCCCTGAAATATCCTGAAAGAGGAGAGGACTGCTGTCCAGGTGCCGAGGCCAACCCATGAAAAATTAATCCACACCATGAGCAGGTCAGCTGCGTTTGGCAGCAGCTGGGCAACTCAGTCTGGCTGGGGTCAGCACTGTATTGCAACCTCCTTCACACAGCGTCACGACCCAGGATCCCCTGCCTGGAGCAGGCCACCACCCTCATGTCTAGCTCCTCACAGGCCCTGTGGAGAACCTGTTCCAGTGGTAACTACTCACTGGCTTCTGTGACAGCCCTTTTGCATATGCTCTGGTGGTGGTGGGGTACACAGGAAAAGGAGGGTGCTCCTGGGTGGGGCAGAGCAGGCTGCTCAGAGGCTGAGAGGAGCTATACATTCTCAGGATTCAAACACCCTTCTGGAACCTGGTTCTCCTAACAGTTAACACTCTAAAGCCTTCTCTAGGACTTAGGGAAAGGCACTACCTAGAATGAAAAGGTCGACTTGAACTCCCATCTGAGAAAGATGAGTCATTTCCTGGTGGGCGATACTCTCTAGTCCTCAGCCGCCAAACTTCTTGTGTGATGGAAGAGGTATTTGTCATGGGTCTGGGGGGGGGGGGCAAAACTGACCCAAAGTCAAAAGATGGAAAGAGACTCCGCAACACCAGCAAGACCCTGCTGTCCAGCGTCCTCTCCATCTGGTCCTACCTAACCTTTGACAGCCCACTTTGCTGCCTCTGCCTAAGTACCCACATGGCAAGGCAAGCTCCACAGCCCTTGCCTGGCTAATGCTCACGGCTCTTTGATTCAAATCATTCATAGCCCGGCAGGGGTATGCTGGTCACTATCCTAACGGATGGGTCACAAACTGTAACCCTAAAATGCTGTTCAGGAATTGACCAGGTTCAGGTGTTTCACATTTCAGTGGCCTATTAATTATTCACATAGAGTCAGCCTCCTGCTCGATGGGCCGATGTTATCAGGCAAGCTGTTTTGGTGATAGGTAAGCAGAGCTGAATCCTCTGTGACCCTACTCGGGTCAGAGATCAGACTCCATTCCTGCTGAGCTCCACATGCTCACACCAGATGGGTCACACTGGGGCAGGTCAGAGTTGAAGCAATGGAGGCTGCCCCCGTGCTTCCATGAGAGGCTTCAGGACAACCTGGTCATCACCCATCCAGGTCAGGAGAATTTGGTCTCCTCCTTCAGCAGTGACTCAGAGTGGTACCAACCACTGGGATAGAATCAGATGACTGTTGGCCAGAGGGCGCCAAGGCCAGGAGGAGACCTACAAGAGGGACCTGACATTTCACCAACTGGCACCCCGTAAGGGAAGCTGGGAGTCCTAGCCAGACCTTTCCTTTAGGGTGGATAGGTCAAGGCATTTGCTATACTAAGGAAAAGTTAAGTGTCAAAATTTCAGGGCTCCCTCATCCCTTTCTCATTGGTTTGGACATAATAATGAAGTGGGCCATTGTGAGCTCTGGAGGCAGACTGGAGAGCCCCAGCCTCGGCCCCTGTAGGACAAGTGTCATCAGAGGTGAGGGGAGCTGGCACCACAGCTGCCAGGTCCACCCAGGGGCTGTGGAGCTGACCTCGAATCTGCCCTGTGAACTGCCAGGCAAGCCTGACATGTGCTGGATGAGCCAAGGGCCTCACTCCTCCCACCCAGGTTTTGTCTGCTTCCCTTCTGGGGTGGTGTTATGAATCCTATGGTTACAAAGTTGGTGGTTTGCAAGTGTGGACAGCTTGGTAATGACCTGATGGCCAGCAGGACCCAGAGACCACTCCACTTATTCCCCAGCATGAGAAAGACAAATTCATGGGAGGGCAGCAGGGACTCCGCCCCTGGTGAAGGGATGATCCTAAGAGCAGAACCCTCAACACCAGCAAAGAGAAGGAGCCTCTGTCCACCACTAGCTAGCCCCGGCTGGGGCCAGTCCTCTCCACACAGGGAGGCTGAGCTGAACACCAACACTAATCTGAGATGCTGCAATCTCTGACTACACCCGAATGAGGCTTCCTGTGGCAGACATGGCGTCAGTGCCACGGGCTGCCTCTCCTGCACCTCCCCATGGCATCAGAGGCAGGCATCGGTGTTCCCTCTCGCTTCTTCCCACCTTCCTCGGGGGCACTGCTAAGGTAATCACTGCCACAGATTGCTAGGTCTGGTTTTACAAACCATCTCTGTGAAACACACAGGGAAATGGATCTCCGCATATACCAGAGAGACTAGCACCTCTGAACATGTCAGGGCTCTCACGACCCCCAGAAGACAGTGGCTCCGAACAGCTGAGGCTGCAACAGTGTCCACTGACCATGCGACAGCCCATAGGGGTGACTGAGTTGTGGCCTCACTCGGTCCCCAGCATCATGAACCCACCTCTGGAAGCAAGAGGAGGGCTGGGCACTGGGGCGGCAGGTGTCAAAGGATGTGTCAAAATAACTCAACAGCACAGAACAGAACCTTGTGGTTACAGAGCTTTCGTAGCAAGTGAGAGAGTTTTCTATTTTCATATGTTTTATAATTATGTGCAAATACTATTTTTATCCAATTTGTGGTCCACCAACCGAAAAAGAAAACAAAACCCCAAAACCCCCTCTTTTTAGTTGCTTACCTCACACTGGCATAGACTGAGCTCACAGAGCAGGGATACATCAGAAAACTCTAAATTACTACTTTTTCACCATGAGAAATGATGACAGATCCTGGATTTCTTTTCTGTTCAGGGATTTTTCAACTATAAAGAAGTGGTGGAGATCGGCTGCTTTGCTGAAACATCTTATCTGTCTCATGTCACCCTCCACCAACACGGATCACTTGACTTGAAATACTTTTGAGCATATATATTAGAGACATTTTAAATGACTATTTCAACTTTCACAATTCCTTTAATATGCCAATTTCCTCAACACTGCCTGTACTGACAGATGAATGTAGTGCCCTGTGCCCAGGGCAGGGGTTGGCAGCAATGGAGCTAAATCTGCAGCCTCCAGCCACACTGTGGGCTTGCTGGGGTGTCACGGTGCTTGACTACAGTCACTGGGGCCACTGGATGATGGTGGAAACCAGTCAGTTAAAACTCAAGGACTCTCCACACTCATCACCATTGTATCCTCCAAAAAGCAAACGCCACAAAGGCACAGACTGGAGTCCAATGCTCTACCTCTCGTGAGAAAGGCTCAGTGTTTACCCCGCTCGGGCCCATGCCCAGCACCCCTTACTGATATAATTTACAATAAATGGGGATGGGGTGTTCAGCTATTATTTCTTTATTGCTTACTTTCATGCCTCCTTCTTTAACTGACTTATTTCCTTTCTTTTTAATATCTTTTCCATTCAGCAATAATGCACTTTCATTCAGTGAAAACCACAGCAAAAAATTGGAGGTAAATACCTGTAGTTATTTAGCGCAACTAAATGCAGGCATTATCTGACCTTTTTCCACCTGGGAAGGGAAAACTTAAAATGTCAAATGGGCTGCTGTGTGCTGATGTGTCTCCTGCATTTTCTCACATCAAGCAGCTAACAAAGTAGGTATTAATTGGCGTCAAGCACACAGGCCACAAATATCACCTTAATATCATCTGCAAGCGCTGCTAAAGTACTTCATTTCTGCACCTTGCCTGGCTAATTCCATGTAGCTGATTGCTGCATTGGCAAACAGCCATTTGTCTGCATGGCCTCCTGCCCTCACAAGCTTTTTATTTACCTAAATGGAATAAAATAAAAATACAGGGTGCCTTGCTGAGTACCCCTCCCAGCCTGTGTCATTCCCTAAATAGCAGGGCTAGTGCCAGGTTGGTAATGCTGAGGGCACTGGGGAAAGGGCTCTGTATAATGCCTCATGGCTGGAGACCTGGCCAGAAGGCAAAAAGGCCTCTCTTTGGCTGTTGTAAAGCAACAACTAGGGGTGGGTCTAAAGCGCCCATGGTGACAGGCATGACAAAGGAAGCAATCACATCACTGGGATTTCACATCGATGTCTTAGTAGCAAAGAAACAGAACAGATTGGGAGACATACTGGCCCCTCGAGGTCACTGGCGTGTCTCCCAACCATTGCTGATGGATGGCTAAGCTACAGCAAATGAATTGGCTCCCTACCCAAGGCATCAACCAGTCAGGGATATGGACCCAGAGCTACCACTGGGGGTTCCCAGTCTCCAGCAAGGGACCCACACAGATATGGCTGTGGCCTGGCTCACCACCTCTCCCAGGGCAGCCTCCACCTCGTCACCTGCCCCTCGGACGCCACCCTGCAGGCTGGGAGCACAGGCCTCCCAGGCCATACCCATGCCTACACCTGGCACCTGCATTTTCTTCCAAACACCCAGCAGAGGTAAGGCAGGTAGTTAGAGCACATCTGGAGAACACAGTCATAAGAATTATCCATCCAGTGCATCACATCCTCAGGGGCACAGGTGTACACACATCTGCCTTGGGCAAACCTTTCAAACAGTTACAGATGATCTGTAAGGACAAGGGCTATGGGTCTTCCCCCTTGAGATTGCACAGTTGGTCCCTGACTTACAAAATTTACCTTGTAATCTTCCAGTTTTACAATGGTATGAAAGCAATCAGTCACAGATATGCATTCAGAAGAATTACACTTGAAATTTTGCTCCTGAACTAGCATACGGGGTCATAATGCTGGCCAAGTGCAGTAAGGGCACCATAGTATCCAGGACCAAAAGGGAATTTGGTTCATCAGGACACAACTCTTCTAGGTCAAGAAGCATCTACACTGAGGAGAAAGTGAACCCAAGGTACCTTGTATGAATCGTACAAGGTATGATTCGTAACACTTAGCCGCCCTGGTGGGAAGGCGAGGCGCACCAGTGAGAATGGGGGAACCAGGTGAGCTGCTGCTCTCCAGTCATCCGTCGGGTGAGAAGCACCAAGATTCACACCAGTCTCTGATCCAGCGCCCCCCGTACCTGCACAATGGGGTGTCCTCCGGCTGATGCCTTCACGGCCCCCCGGCTGCCCTCTGTCTCGTAGTGAGCTCTGTGGTGAGATTTGGGCTGTACCTCAATCCGCAGCTCATAGGGGCCGGAGTGGGACGGCAGCTGCCAGTCAAGAGCAGGCAGAGATGGGCTGCAAAGGAAGAGAGAACCATTAAGCCCAGGCCAGTGGACACACTCTTGGACCACTGCACATACCTCCAGCCACCACTAGCAGGCCACTCTCTACCTTACATTCCTAGCACCTGCCAAGTCCTGATTTGAGTGACGTGAGTAGGGTAGAGCCAGCAGCCACTTTATCACCATGTGAGGTCACAGATTCCAGCCCTTCACATCTCAATCAAAATGTTTTCTCCCTTTGTGATAAGTTTCTGTAAATCATCTAAACTTCCTCACAAGACAGGGTCCTGACTGAAAAGCCTTGTAAAATCACAGGCACACGTCAAGAAACAAGGCTTCTTAGTGTGGGCAGAGCTCACGATCCTACTCTCTGAACAGCCCCAGCCAGAATCCAAGACACTGACCCAACTCCTGCCCAGAGCCACGGAAGAGGCCTGCAGATGCCTGCTGGGGGCAGTTACTGCCTTGTGACCTGGGAGCTACATCTTGGTGGCCTCTTCTATGGCCAGCTGTTGTGGGGCTCTGGGAGCAGTTTCCCTGAAACCCCCAATTCACCAGCATCTTCTGCCCAGACCTGAGAAAAAGGCAAACAACTGCTCATGCCAACCTGCCTGCAGCAAGCACTGACTCGCTCATGATCAGCTGCAAAGTGACCCAGAAGCCCTGCACAAATCCCCTCATGTCTGACTCCCAGGACTGGGTTCAAATGGTAAGCATCTGTGTCTGCCCAGAACAAGAAAGCCCCCGGCACACCTTGGGCATGGCTGGTCTCGCAAGCACTGCTGTTTGGGATGGACTGCGTGTGCCAAGCAGTCTCTCGGCTGTGGCTGTCAGGGCCATTTCCTGTGTGGGGTTATCTCATCACACGCCCAGTTTCCGGCAATGCTGCCAGGCGGAAGAGCGGCTAAGCAGAGGGCTTGGCCAAGAGGGAGGGCAGCGTCCTGGGGAAGGCCTCTCTACAGAGAGCAGAGGATGACAGAGCTGCTGGGCAGGGGCAGGCAGAGCATGAGGTGAGGGGCCTGGTTCCTAGTGCGGGAGACAGAGCCAAAACACAGTTACTCTGCATTCGGGGCCCCCTGATCACGCCAGGCCCCTGACCAGTGGAAAGCGTACAGGCAGGGGGGCTACCCAGCACACAAGGTGTCCACTGCCCGAGGCTAAGCATCTCAGTCAGAAACAGAGAGAGACAGACACACGGACACAGAGGCAGACAGACACACACAGAGACAGACGGAAAAGAGAAGCAGCAAACAGGGAAAGAGGGAAAGCCCAGCACCGCAACACTGGCAAAGCTGACCACCTTTCTAAAGGTGAGAGGGTCTAAACCTTGTGCACTTATGGTACAAGAATAATTTTGTGTAGGTTGTTGTTGGATCATTTATAGATTTACAACACAATGGGTATACAGCTCACAGTAATAACAGTGTATGAAATAAATACTATAATATAGAAAATTAGGATTGTTACTGTTGGTTGGAGATTTTCAATATGAATTTAGCAGCTCCATAAAACAATATAAATCTGCTTCTTAGATTAGAAAAAAGGACCAAACCTGGAGCAGAGTGCAGTTGGATAGGGCAACTCTTCTACCCCCACCTACCGCGCTCTGGGGGCCCCATAGCAAAGGGAGGCACGGCTTTTCCTGCTGCCAGAAGACCTCCCTGAACAGTTCCGGCCCTAGCAGCTGAAGTTCACTAATCGAGGCCCTGTACTCAGAAAGGATCCTGACTTCCAACTTTAACCTTATCTTTCACATAATTCTGTCTTTTTAAAAGTTGTGCTCAATGCAACCAAGAAATCAGGAGGCTGCACAGGTCCCTAAGGTCAACTAGTCTGGTACAAATGTAAGCCATTTAAAGTCATCCACCTATCATTTAACCTACACACCCAAAGGTGTCGTCCCAACACCTGGAAAGATACATACGTATTTCTACATGTACTATGGCTTTAGGTTTTACTTGTTTTGTTCTTTTATTTTTGCAGGAGTGTCTCAACACTTAGTACTTTAACCCATGACGATCCTTTTCCCTGAATCTCCTGAGTGCTGGCTCTGATTTTGTAAAGAAAGGTCATATTTGAGCATTAGGGCTTATTACTCACAAATCACATCTGATGGCATAATTATTACTCTTTTGCTGGACACCATGCTTTGCCTCCAGCACTTTGTATTATACGCCAGTGATGTGAACAGCACATGATTAAACTGGGACAGCCCCCTGACCCTTCCTTAGCACAGGTGCACAGGCAAAGAACACCAGTGTCCAGGGTGCCTGATGCGGGGGCCCCGTGTTCCCTCCACGCACTAAGTAGCACAGTTCCTCTGTCAACCGGTCCCAGCACGAGTCTGATGTGTGAGAACTCTGCCAGTGCGCTTCCTCAGACACAGTTCCCATCTTCAGACCATACTTAGAGCTATGGGCAAAACTGAAGATAACATGTGGTATATGAATAATAACTATACATACAGTAAATACTATCATCACTATCAGGGAAGATTCTAGAAGTATCTAGGCTTCTAAGTATCCACTTGGTATCTTTCCTGTGTCTTGCTAAAAATATGATGAAATCCCAGAGCTCTGGCACACACCTGAGGCCTGCCTCCCTCTCCACAGAGGCCAGCTGTCCAGCAGTGATGGACAGCCATGGTGGGGTGACATCCACCATCATCAACATTGTCAGATGCGTGTCAGTCACCATGCTCTGGCCCTGTTGGGAACAGTTGCTTATAAAGTGCAATCCCTTTATGGATAAAGAATGGGTCCAGTAAACAAATGATGTAGGACATAAGACAGTAACAAAACACACATGTGGACCTGGGAGTGAACAGCACTGGGACCCTGACAGCCACAGCTGCGTCCAGGTGGCAAGCCCAACACTACCCCCCCACAGACATCAGCCTGCTGGCACCTCAAAGCCTGCCAAACCACACCTTCGATCGCAGACTTCTCCTGAATGTGTGCATGGAAATTCTGGTAAGAATTGCTCCTTACTTCTGGGAGTCCCAGAAGCTTGGGCTCTGGTGTTTGATGCCCTTCTGTGCCGGGGTGCGGGGTGGGAAGGAGCACAGCCAGGCTTCGTGAGGCCAGTCATACCTTCCACAGCCTGTGGGTGTGTGGCAGGAGGAGTTCCAGCTCTCCCTGTCTGAATCACCGCTCACAGCACTGAGACCCACTTCCCATGAGAAAGGCTGCGTCCCTCTCACAGGAAAAGCGTGGAGGATGAGCAGGTGCACAGTTCACAGCATGGGAGCCACCTACACGCTGCAGTTCAGAGCCAGAGCCCCAAAGTCTCCGCGTCTCCAGCTCCTATCTACACAGGGTCAGCAGCATTTCCCAGCTCGGCTCCCCTAAGCGCCTGCAAAGCCAAGGGAACACCTCCCTGCCTGGCCGCTGCTGTGGCGGGCTGTTAAAGGGATACACGGTAGGGTCTCCTACACAGCCCCACTTCCCAGGTCAGAAGCACACACAGGCCTCCTCCCAGAGTTCAGAAAGACCGACCTAAGACAGTCTTCTGAGACAACGCTTCATGTTAGAGGTTTCTCTGAGCTCTGCCCAAGGGGCCCAGCGAGCAAGTAAACCACAGGAAGGAACACTGAAACACAGTGTTAGCTGCATCAGAACCCAAAGCCCAGGTCATCATGGCGACAACAAACTGCTAATGAGGGTGCAATGGAGCCCACAACTCCTCACCCACTGCCTTCACAGTCCAGCCCCCCAGGAGGGACAGGATCTGGCCAGTCTGCCCACCAGGGCAGCTCCACCCCAGCTGCCTGATCCAGCACGAGCCGGCCTGTTGTAGACCACGGGTACCCCAGTTAAACAAAGTCCTTAAAAGCCCATCGATACCACTAAGAGATGTGAAAATCACTTGGCCAAACAAAAAATCCAAGCCCTAGAGGGCCTGGAGCCACAGCAGCTGGAGGGATAAACAGATTACACTTGGACCAAAGAGCCAAATAACACTGTAGAAGCCACTTGTAAAACCCAGATGGGAGACAAAAGTGTCCACTGCAACTTTCATGGGGAAGACGGCAGCAAAGGTATCTATTGCCACACAAAGGACCCCACGCAGAACCTGGGCAGCAACTGCCAGGGGACCCTAACCCTGACCTGCTTTACATTTGTCACCAGATGACACAATGGTATTATTAATGTCTCGAGATGAGTTCTCACCTTTAAAGAGACGCATGGAAACAGATGAAGTGATAGGATGCCTGTGGTGTGACAGGCAGACACGGCCTCCCTCACTCTATGTTTAAAGTTTCCTGACATGAAAAGTGAAAGACCAAAAACAGTTCTGAAGAGTAAGTCTGGAGGACAAGAACTAAAATGATCACTGTGACAGTCAAAGTCACAGAATTCTCAGGAATTTCTTATTTCTGATTAAAATATTCACAGTAAACGATCTAATGTGTATAACCCCCAAAACTGTATTTTTAAAAATAATGTCTCAAATGCTAACCTCCTGTGCACGCCCCTCCCCCACCACGGTCAGCTGATCAGGGGTACTGAAGGTCTTCTGGGTCCCCTTTCTGAGCGTGACCAGTCACTCTCAAGGAAGCCCCCAAAGAAGCAGAAGGACCCCGTTTAACCACTCTCGTAGAAACACCAAGGAGGCAGCTATGATTACATGCCTTAGCTAAAATCCTTTCCAGTCTGAATTTTCCAAGAAAAAGTTAATATCCCTTCGTGAAGAGACACGGACAGGCTATGTATGACTCCTGTAATTCTATGATAGATGAACTCTAAATCTGGCAGGGCTAAAATTGCCTAAAGGAAGGATAATAAAAGCAAGTTTAACAAAAACAAGATTTTCAAAGTTATAACACATTTTCTCAGGGTCAGCAGCCAAAGGGCTCCTCATTGTTTAGCTGTTTGGATTTTTCCCTTAGTTCAAAAAGAAAGAAAGAAAGAAAAAAAGAACAAAGGAAGGAAGGTGAGGGGGTTTTCAGTGCGTTTCTCAGCCACTGCTAAGCCACAAGGCTCCATCCACCCATCCACCTGATGCCGAGCC